AAATACAAAAATATAATTACAGTTTAAAAAAAAAAAGACATCTACACATTCCAAAAGATCAAAAATAAAATTAGAAATTAGAAATCCAATAAAAATCAAATAAGCAACATAAATTAGTGGGAGCTCAATGTAGGCAAGAAAATTCAAATGCTAGAGAAAATTAATCTAAAGGAGATATCTTAGTGTCAAAGAAAATTCATCTCAAAGGGAAAATTACACACAAGGAGAACTAAAATTAGTGGGAGTTTAACTCAAGGAAAATTCAACTCAAGGGACCACTAACTAGTGAAAATCAAACAAACAATATAAATTAATAGGAGTTTAATGTGGTCAAGAAAAACTAAAATGCCAAAGAAAATTGGAGAGAAAATCAAAGAGACAACAAGCTATAGAAAATCAAGTAAAACACATAGAGTAAAGCGAATCTAATGTGTTTAGAGAAAATTGTGATGTTAGAGAAAATTCATCTCAAGAGGAAAATTACATACAAGGAGACAACTAACTAATGAAAATCAAACAACCAACATAATTTGATAGGTTAGGAAAAATTCAGATGTTAGAGAAATTCAATCAAAATATTGGCTCAAACTCAGAGAAATTTCGACCCAACTCAGAAATTTTGCCCAACTCAGAGAAATTTCCTTAATTTTCTCTGTGTTTTGGAAAATTTTCTAATTTGAAGAAATTTCTTTGTGTATTATACATAAAAGAGAGAGAAGAAAAAAATGGAATAGTTTCTTGTCAACCTTTTAATTATTTCCTCTACAAGGGAAATAATTCAATAAGTGATGCAAACATGTGTCTTATAAATATATATATATATATATATATATATTGTTTGTATAGAAACTAGGAACATAGTCACTAATATATTTTTCATTCAACTCTATATTCATTTTTAAATACAGTAGAGTCAAGAAAGAATATACACTCAGACATTTATAGAAGCTTAAAGATGTCGAATTGTAAAAAAGAGGCAGATAGCAAAGATATCATCCACTGCCATACCTAGTTTCTTACGTTTCCAAGCACAAACCGCGTGTTGGACTAATCTTTTAACTAATTCTTCTCGAAAAATCACCACAAACATCAATCCTTCTTATATATATAAAGAGAGAGAGAGAGAGAGAGAGAGAGAGAATACAGAGACAAAAGAGAGAAAAGAGATGAAAGAGAAAGAGGAATAGAGATTTGGTATATATATATATAAAGAGAGAGAGGGTGCGATATATGGGTGTAAGTGAGGGACTTTAGGCTACAAAAAAAAAACATTATGAACCTCTTTCATTACTAAAAGTTAGAGAATGATGTTAAATTAGTTTTTCACAAAAAAATTGATGGAACCAGTAAACCAATCCAATTCAATATAAATTGTCAATTTGGTTTGGTTTTTATTAGCTTCGATTCTAGTTCTGGTTCTGAAAATAATGGAATCGTTCAAATTGGTCCGCTTCCCAATTCCGATTTCGAACCGAATCGGACCATGACATATTTATTTATTATTTTTTTATATGTTTATATGTAAAAATTAAGATTTGAACACTAACTTTCATTGCGAAATTGATAAACTCTAACCAACTTAATAAAATTAATTATCATTAATTTATTTACTAACATAAAATATATACCATAAAACCGAACCGAATCAAACTAGTTTTTATGGTTCGGTTTCCCAATTTAACGGTTTGATTGCGATTCTAATTTTTCTTAAACCAGTTCCTACTATTTGGTTCTTAATTTACTCTAAAACTAGACCAATTCGATCTTTTACCTATTTTTTTCAGCAAATGTTGTATTTTTTTCTTGCATCATTTGTGACGGATATTATGGATTGTTTTTTTTGATACACAATTTGTAATTTGTTAAGATAAATTGATAGAGAGAGATACAGAGAGAATGAATTATGTATTGATTGATTTGTTTACAATGTTTACAATTCCTATATATAGAAGAGAGGGTGGTAGTAGGTGTAGGTGGTAGTGGAGGTGGTAGGTAGAGTGGGTGGTAGTGGAGGTGGTAGGTGGGTGGTAGTTTACATTTTACAATTTACATTTTACATTAACGGCTAAAACTCAAGGAGGATAGGTACTAGCCAACTTAAGTTTGGAGAGAGTAATAAAACAGAAAAATAAGCTGACAATTAAAAATGGGATAGGAGACACTGTATGGTCGTGTCGGACCGTTGTAGCAGACAGTTTACGGGGTCATGTCGGACCGTTGTAGCAGACACTGTGTGGTCGTGTCAGACCGATGTAGAAGACAGTTTATGGGGTCATGTCGGACCGATGTAGAAGCTGACCGGAATCAATGTCGGGACAGTTTATGGGGTCATGTCGGACCGATGTAGAAGCTGACCGGAATCAATGTCGGGACAGTTTATGGGGTCATGTCGGACCGTTGTAGAAGACAGTTTACGATCTATGTACCAATTAGTGTACCAACATATGTTATGACATTATTACTGATCTCACTCATTATACATATTACGAATATTCAAAATCTCTAAAATTATGTCACATCATCTATTGATACACTAATTAGTATATCAATTAATACATATAACATTATTCATTAATCAGTCATTTTTTTTAACAATAGGCATGTTAATTTTAAGTTAATTTTGAGAAGATAACATAATAAGTGTCAATCGATAAACAATATAAATTTATTTTTCCAATAACACTTATTAATTTTTTGCAAGCAATAATATTATTTACTCAAAAAAAAAAAAACTAAAAATATCATATGTAATTTAAATCTATTATATATATATTAACTCTACAATATATGAATTTATCTTGGTCATGCACCTAAAATTCTGATAAAATTCTTATGGTAGGAGGAAATGCATTGATTTTGAGGGAGGACGAAACAGACCTTGCACGCCATTGAAAGAGACAAACCCTATTTAGGGTGTGAGGTGTTTCCCAAGATTAAGATTGGTGGGTGGATCATTTTCAACAAGAAGGCCAAAATTTGTAACCTTCAGCAGAGAGGAAATGGGGGCAAATGGTGGCATTTAATGGCTTTAAAGCAAAGTGTCCCTTTCGTGGGGGGAGTTGCAGCAGAACATGAGGTTCCAAAAGTCTCTTTTAGTAATTTAAGCAAACTTGCGGTACAGCTATTAAAATCTTTATTTTATTTTTGTTTTGGGGTGTGGTATCATTCAAAGTTTATCTGAATCAAGTTTGACCACCAAACTATAATTTACCTGCCTTTGATCAAAGCCCAAAACGCATGAGCCACTCATGCCTCTGATTTGGGCAACTCAACCTCTATTGATAGCTAATGTTTCTCAGAAGAGTGGAATTGGGTCTACTACTATTCTCCCGCGACTGTAATCAATTTCAAAAATATTTTCTATATATATATATATATATCTGTAAAATTTACTTATTTGTAACAGGATTTTTAAATATCATTATAACATTTTTTTTTTTTTTTTTGAGAATAGAATAACATAAATAGTTGAAAACATAAGATTATGAAAGTAAATTTTATGTTAATACACGGCTAAAATTTTTGAGATTTTAATATATATTTTTTATACTATAATTGGAAATGCATTGAAGACAACTTGCAAAAAAAATTGGTGACAAATAGTCTTGGAGGTGGATTTCTTTTAATCCATAATCTAGATTGGAGTATAAATTTTTGTATGTTAATAGGATATCACGTGACACTAATTTTTACCAATCACAAATGTATATGTCTAATATTGTTCCCATTTTAATAATTTGAACCATTGATTTTTTTGGGTACTCATGCATATCATCCATCAAAAAAATAAAACAAAATAGATTGATTCGATAATCATAACATATTTAATTTATCGTGTTTATCACAAAAAAAATAATCTATTCAATTCTTATTTATTTTTTGATGACAAACACAATCAATTAAATATGCTACGATTATTGGATCAATCTAATTTTTTGTGTGAATGATACACATAAAATATCTAACAAAAAGAATAATTTTGATCATTAAAACAAGACTAATGGTAAATCCTGTTAAATAAATACTGAAATGAAAGAGAGGAGAAGGACTGAAATGACAGTGATGTATATTCAGTGTCTGTTATATTTCTATATGTTACAAGAGACTGAGCTCTCTCTATTTATAGAGAGGAGAAGGTGACCGAAGTGTATATTACAATACATTAAACTAAGCTTTCTTGTGTGCTGGTGTGTGCTTTACAGTGTGATATGAACATGTGATGCTAGTGGGTGTGTGCTGGTGTGTGTTGTATTGTATACTTTAACAGCCCCCCGCAAACTCAAGGAGGATAGGTACTAGCCAACTTGAGTTTGGAGAGAGTAACAAAACAGAAAAAAATAAGCGGACAAATAAAATTAAAAAAAAAAAATGGGATAGGAGACACTGTATGGTCGTGTCGGACCGTTGTAGCAGACAGTTTACGGGGTCATGTCGGACCGTTGTAGAAGACAGTTTACGGGGTCATGTCGGACCGTTGTAGAAGACAGTTTACGGGGTCATGTCGGACCGTTGTAGAAGACAGTTTACGGGGTCATGTCGGACCGTTGTAGAAGACAGTTTACGGGGTCATGTCGGACCGTTGTAGTTTTTGTTTTTTTTTGTTTTGTTTTGTTTTGTTTTTTTTTTTTGGTGTAAAATGGGGATCGAGGTTGATCCCTGAGATGAATAAAATATGGGTTGTTGTGCAAATTTGTAAATTGTTTTGGGTTTTTTTTTTTTTTTTATGTGAAAAGAAGGGAATCGAAGAAAAAAAAATAATAATAAAAATAAAATAAGGTGATGGCGACGAAATGATGAGCATGGTGATGAGGAATATATAATGATGAATAAAAATAATAAATGTGAGAGTGGGGAACAGGACGAATGGAGAGCACCAATTAAGCTGTATAAGAAAAAATAAAGTTGGGACGGTGGATGGGTGAGTTTAAATAAATAAATAAAAAGAAAGAGAAATTAGACCAACTAAGTTTTATAATAATGAAAAGAAAGGTTGGGCGATGGATGGGTGTATCCATGTGAGGTGAGTAAAGATATTAAAAATATTCTCATATCATAAGAAAAGGAAGTGAGTGGGTCTAGTGGAGATAAAAGGGACCAGAGAGAGAGAGAAAAAGAGAGGGGTAGAGAGAGTGTAGGTTGGTCGAGCCGCCACCGTCTGTGGCGACGACGGCGACGGTAGGTTGATCAAAGACAAAAGTGGCAGATCTGTGGGTCGAGAGAGCAAGTCTAAAGAGTCCTTTTTGTTTTGGTTTTGCCCAGCTTCAACCGAAGAAAGAGAGTTTATATAAAACCAATTGACCAAATTGCTGAAACATCTGTGGGTGGGAAGAGAATTGTGGAGGTAGAGCTCTGTTGAAGGGGTTTCTATTGGCAGCTGGGATTTGACCCGTTGCTATCTTAAGCCGTTGTACTTCTTCCCTCAGTGTTTCATTCAAAGCATCTCGAAGATGTGCTTGTTGTTCCATCGCCTGTAACCGCAGTTTGAGTTCCTTGTTCTCAGTAGTCAATCCAGTTGTGTCTCTCTGGAGCATTGTGACCTGTGCAGAGAGGGTGGTAGCTTCCGTCTGAAGGGTCTGTACTTTCCTCTCCAGCTCGTTTGTATATCGTATTTTTCGCTCCTTTGAACGTGCCGCAGATTGTCGATTCGCAAGAATTCTTTTAGCTCGCTTGGGATCAAGGAGAGCGAGCCGATCAGGAGCCATGGTCTTCTTAACTCCATCGATCATCAACGATGAATCGGCCTCAAACGACGACATCGAGCCGTCCATCGAGTTACTGTGCCTGTGACGATAATGGCTGGCCGGCAGCGGCTTCCTCCCAAATCTCTCGGATTCGGCGGCAACGGCGGCGCCATCGCCGGAGTACTTTGAAGATCTTTTGATGCAACCAATGACTCAGCTGGAGTCTGATCAGGACATTCTAGAAGGCTCTTCTGGGTGTGAAGGAGTGCGAGGCAAGATGGAGTGGGTGGGCTGGTGTTAATTACACACAGAGACCACTACGTCAATGTTACAAGGAGAAGGGCATTGGAAGCAGATGCCAAAGATGTTGAGCAAATTAATGGTTACACATCCGAGGGAGAGAGGATTTGGGCAATGATGGGAAGGTATGTGTAGAAAATAAGCGGACTAGGTTGAGGTCCGGCGGGCGGTCAAGGCAAGGTTGCCGCCCGCCAGAAGGCGAAGAGCACCAAGAGCTTAACCTATAGCTCTGATACCATGTAAGATAAATTGAAATCTGATCATATTAAATTTTGATTGTATTGTTAACAACAGATTGTTGTTATATTTATCAAAGATTGATTTGTGTATATATGTACAACTCTCTATTATATAGTAGAGAAAGGTAGCAGGTATTGTGGTGTGGCCGTAGGGGTGAAGTGGAGGTGGTAGGTAGAGTGGTATAGGTTTAGTGGATTGATGGGTGTAGTGGGTTAGTTTAAGTGGTCACATTACACATAGGGGATTCAGTCTGCCTCTGCTAGCTGTTCTGTTGATCACTTTGGTTGACTGCTCGAAGGTTTTACATGATGTAGCCTCCAGAGGGTTTAACTAAT